ATATCCTACAAAAGTTCATGAATAGAAATGAGGAMCATAAAGTGATGTGATGCTAGAGGTTTTTACAGAACCTCTAGCAGCTTGTGTGATGGCTTCTGTGGGAGCAGTGGGGATGTCAAATGTGAGGCATCCCTGACAGAATATCTTTTATTCAAAACAAAAAAAAAAATTTAACATTTTTTAAGAGAATTGTTTCCTAAAGATGTTTGTTCTAAAGATTTCACATGGTTTACAACTGTTTTATTCTCTCCAAATTTGGATGTTTTTGTTATTTAAACCTAACTTTCATTCCTTAGGCATAAAGATGCACAAAGCCTGAAGTGCACAGATTTGGGATTATAAAACAAAAGCCTAAGAAGCTATAGCTGGTTATTCACAGTAGACATATTAAGTCAAGATCATTCTTTTATTTACAGTTTTCTAAGGCTGTTTGCCCCAAGCTTTAAGATGTTTCCTGAATTTATATTACATTTTATTCTCTTGTTTCATCTGAAAATTAAAAGAATCAGTCAAGGTACAATACATTGTACATAGTTTTTATGATTTTTTTTTTTTTAACTGAAAGGAGAATTGCATGAAGTCACTCAGATTTCAATCTGCTGAAGCGCACAGTCCCACCATGACCCAGAAATACGAATTTAGTCTTTGTTACAGCCCTAAATGCATGCAAATAGCATTGTACTTATCTGTTTTTTTCTTTAACGTGGCAAATAAGCACATTTTTACGCTCTTAAAATATTACAGAAAGGCTGAACTTTTCACCAGAAAACTAATTGTCCTTAGCTGATTTTTTTTTTCAGCTCGGCAAATGTCAAGACTCAAACCTGAACTTCAGCAGTGGGAACAATGGCTATCAATTGCCTTTCCCCCCCTGCTGTTCCTCATTAAAAGCACAAAGTGTGCTTATTTAAATCCATCCTTATCGCCCAATGACTGAATTGGGCAGCTATTAGAAGTGCAGCAGATCAGATCTTCCTGTTTATTGATTTGTGAAGAGCAGACTCTCTCTCTCTGCTTTGACAGCTCCGAGTCAGTGAGAGCAAAGAAAGGAGATTTTCAGCTCCTGGGAGGAGAATTGCTGGGCAACATTAAAGAGGGTCTTGTAGGAGCCACTTTCCTTTGATATGCAGTCAAATTGSCTGTGCTTGGAGTCAAGGTCAGGAGGCTGTGGAAATGCTATGAATATGGTGGGGAAATTAAAGGAGTGTTATTTTAATGAGTTTTGTGTGTAAGCATGCTGATTGACACAGAAAATTGCCCTTCTCTTTTTGTGAGAACAGCTTTTGGTGAAGCAAATTTGGAAAAAAAAAAAGAAGTTTGTGTGTCCTTTTGCTGCTGCACTAAATATAGCTGTTTAGATGAGAATCTTCAATTCTTTCCTTCTTTTCTTGCAATTTTTCCTCAGAATCCCAGCCATTCAACAGTTGTCTTAACTCTTAACATGGAGCACTTTTTTAAACTAGTGATCTCATTTCTGCGGTTTCCTTTTTAACAAGCAGTAAAAATTGCTGCTCGCACACCTTCATGTAATTTTTTTAATAAATTCCTTGTCAAGTTCACTGCATGTGAATTCTCCAAGGGTGCTGAGCAGAGAGAAGCATCCCACCAGTCACCTTTTCTCACACAGCAGCTCACTGCAGAGAGGTTTAGCTGGAGATCAGAGCTCAGAGAAGCACCCCRGGGGAAATTTCCTCCACTGAACTTGTTCAGTTGAAAATCAAAGCTGTGGGCAAGCCTGTGGCAGGATTAAACCACAGCCAGACCAAAGTTATTACGGCTCTGTAGTGTTGGTACAGCCAAGATTGATGGACTGACAGGCCATTTTTTAGCTCTGTGCTGAGGCCACTCATTATTTGCTGGCACAAGGTCAATAATGGGATGGGTGTGCCTGTGCCTCCTTCCTCCTGCACATCTTGGAGCAGTTCAGCAATGCCAGCACTCCTCAACAGTTGCTGTTGGGTGTTTGAGAACATGGAAAATACTGAGAATTAAACAGCTCACATTTCCATCTTGATCCAGGCCTGCTTTGCAAAGTGGACATAAACACACACACAAAAAAAAGTGTGTTATATGTCATTAAAAAATTCTCAATTAAGCCTCAAAAAATAAAATTAAAAAAACCAAAATGCCCCAGAATTTAGTAGTAGACCCAAGTTAAGTCCATCAAAACCTTAGTCTGATTGCAGTGGAGCTGTTATAAAAAATGTTGCCAAAGTTGAGCCTCTACATCAGGTAAAGCACTGACAAACTATTCCTAATAACTGCATGACAGAGCTTTGCTTTTGTTATTGCTGTAATTTGTTTATCTGAACCTGATTATGTATTCAGTTCACATGGCTGCATCCAAGTGATGGGAAACAGAACTTGTTTCATCAAATGTTCTCAAAGTCTTTAAAGGAGAAGGATTTTAAATAACTTTTTTTTTTCCTTKCCAATTTGTTTAGCAGAAGCTGTTTCTGTACCGTATCGATATCTCTTAAAACCAGTGTAGGATTTTTAAGATTCCCATCTTCAGCCTGGAGAATRTTTACTGCACTGCTGTGGTTCTTTCATTTGTTATGATTGAAAGAAGATAAATGTTATGTAAAGCATTGGATTAAATAAATAATGGAAATGCATGTCTTTTCAAGCATGTATCCCCAGTGAGGAAAGGCAACGGTTCAAATATCCCAATTAAGGAAAATTCTGATGTTTGCTTCTAAGTCAAAATCAGATATAAAAATATTTTGTTCTGTTTAAACCAAATTCTTCTATCTTGATTCAGATAAAGCAATAGCTGACTTTTTAGAAATCAATTTWTTTATTTATTAGTAACATTTCTTGTGGAGAAATACTGCGGAGTTTTACATATCACAAAAYATTTATGAAGCCTTACATGGTTTCAGATTCTGTTATTTTATCATTTACATGTTACTTTTGGTAAAATTAATAGAAACTGACTGCAATAATCTTCCTTGCTCTACCATCAACAGTGAGTTCATCTTTTGCTACCTTTTACCTAAAAGCTGGTATGCCAATAAATCAGCAAGTGRTGTTTCCTAGCAGCCAAGTGGAATAACGTTTTGTACTCTCTGGTGATCTTTCCTGGAGAATACTCAAGATTTCTCAGTGTTTTATTCTTCTCTGTATTGACAAAATCTACCTCYAGACAGAGGTATTTCCTGGCTCACATCCAAAGCTGTTCACTTGGAAAGTTTACCCTGAAGTGTGCGAGGTATTTTATTTTGCTGATATACATATAAGGCTAAAAATCTTCAGGTTAATAATTTTGTGCACTTTAAAGGTCACCAGGATATTTTGAAGGGATTGAAATTCTCAGTTTTAGCACACTTATGGAAGCTGAATAAGCAGTGGACATGTGTATTCCCATGCTCTTTTCTGACCACAGTTTGGCTGTTGAAATATGAAACACTGCTCCCCACTGTGTGTTTGTAAAGTTCTCATTCCCTTTAGGGATTCCTCATGCCAGGAATTACTTTTTCCATCCTAACTGACTTAACAAAAAATATGTACTAATATAAAGGAGGAGCCATATGTTTCTTTATTAACCAATATTTCCTAATGACACAATAAGTGTGTTATGAGGTAATTTTAAGACAATCCTAAAGAGTATATTCATTTTCATTATATTTTCCAGTGTTTTTTATTTGCATTTTTTATTTGCACTTTCTATTTCTTTATGTATGTTTAAGATTATCTTTCTAGTCTTTTTTGAAAGGTCATTTCTTGGTTTAAAATAATAGCACATCAGATGATGTGCTATTAATGATTCTGTACTTAAGCTAATTATACTGATGACCACAGTAAATAAATAAATAAATTCCTATTGCTTAGTTAAACAAGATTTTGGGGTCTAGGGGTAATTTGGCAAGCACAGGGAGTCATATCAAATAGCTCATTAATTCTCTCATTATTTTTCCCTTCTGACTGTATCACACCCAGTTTCTATACAATTGTTCCCTCCTACCACCAACCAAAAAATTCCCTGAAAGTTTTAAAATATGGATTTATTTTCACTTGTGCAACCTATTTGATCCCTTGTCATGTATCTCCCAACTAGGTCAATTAAAACACACCAGTCACCCTTACCTTCTGCTCTGCCAGTGTTGATGGAACACCTTTTTTACACACAATATTTAAGTGAATCTGCTTCCTATCWGTTATTTTACTTAATATATTTGAAAAATATTCTATCATTACTTTCAAGCATTTTTCCTTGCTTTACCTAATCCCATTCTTAGGGCTAAGTTAATGACATCCTTCTAACTATGTAGGCTGTATAGGGGCTGGTAGATGTCATCCATATACCAGGGAATCCTATCGTGATCCCATCTTTTGGCAGCTTGCTCAATACTCCAAATATTTTCAAGGGTATAAAGATAAACCAATTTTTAAACTACCCTCTCTGTTTTAATGCAGTGCATCAGCCCAACAAAAACATTAGGAACAACATGTTCTTCAAAGGAAGAACATATCCCAAAGAAAGGGTTGAGGGGTTGTGATTTGACTGATTGAAAGAACAGAGAAATGTTTTTACCAGCTGCTCTTTGGTTAACCTCATTTCAGCACTTGGTTAAAGCATAGTTATCCCGTCCACATTAAAAGAGATTAATTTTTACATGCTGATTTAGGATAGTGTACTTTTAAAAGTACTTTAGAAGTAGTTTTTGGAAAGTATTAACAGATGGATGTTGTGACTTTAATATTGACTAGCAGTGTCATACTCTTTACATGTACATAAAGTCAGGCACATTTCCTACGCCTTTATTTGTCAGCCTTTTCATTTTCAACTTCTAGTTAAGATGGGTGGGAACCACTTTTTTTACCTTCTTTTTTTTAAGTGACACATTTAATCTCATCTAGACCCTGAAGGATGACAATTGTTTCAGGAACCTGCTTAATTTTAAACTGAATGTTCACTAATAAAAAAATTATCTGGCTATAATTGCTCTTTGTTTCTTCTGTAGAAAATAGTATTTTTTTTTCTTCTCTCCTAACAGGTGGCCATTGATGAGCGCATCAGGCAACTGCATGAAGCTCACAGGGATTTTGGCCCCACTTCCCAGCATTTTCTTACCAGTGAGTGATTTCCCATTTCCCATCCTTCTTGTGCAGTTTGCATACACATTTATTTGATATTTTTGTAGCCATGTGCTAGTTGGTTTTTTTTGTTGTTATGAATTTCTATTTTAGACTCTACTACAGTGGTTTGTCGTTTTTTTTTTTTTTCCTCTTGGTTCAGAGGACTGTTAAATAAAATCATATTGTCTAGGTCCAGGGTAAAAGGAAAACATCTGCCATTATCAAGAGTCTTTGTCCATACATCTATCACTGCAAAGCTCATCTTCATTTTTTGGGGGATCCATTTTAGGACCAACAAATTAAAATTATGTTTAGAAGAGTGATTTAAACCCAGAAAGGATTAAGAGGGGAAAAAAAACAAAAAAAACACCAAACAAATTTGGTTTATCTCTTCAAAGAAATGTTCAGCTCTGAAAAGGGACAAAATAAGACCTGCAAGAAAAATATTTTRCAGGATTTGATCACGTAGCAGAGCAGTGAGAGGATCAAAACCAGGGTGGGAAAGTTGACAGAAGAATGGCAGCTAGGTAAACTTTCTACAACTATGCATAAAATATAATTGCCAGCAAAATTCCCACCTCACCTCCACACGCATTCTTTTATCAAGGATGTTTTGAAGTTCWCTGAAAGACAACTTGAAACACCTTCAAAGCTCCAAGGCAGTGACTAAAGTGAAGCTTCTTAAAGGCCATGTCTTTTCTATTGTACTTCAATTAAGGAAAGTAAACAGTAAAGCTTTATTTTAGAGATTATATCAGCAGAACAGAACACAGTCACAGGATAATGGTCTCCTACATGCAGAGGGACAAGCTATCCAGACATCAGAAATAGATGTTACTATTATTGCACAGCTAMGCTCACAGTGGGCTAGAGGACAAACTTTTCTTCAGCTGATACTGCATTGTAATTTTAATAKGTTAACCATTTTTCCACTGCAACTCTCAATGGGAAGCTGAAAATTCTCAGCAGGATGACCTGCAAAATCAAAACCAGGGTCGATGTTTTGCCATATAAGACTAATGCAGGCTTTGTCAAATTATGATCCTACAAAGAAATAAGCCCTATTTTCATAATTTTTTGTTTCAAAATCACTTTTCTTTAACTCTTAATCACTGGTAATACTTTATCAGCTCAATATATATAACTGCAAACCAGACTTGTCAAGAATGAACATGGAAGAGTTATGAGTATGTGACATGAATAAAATATTTAATTTTATTAATAATGGGGGTTTTGTGACCCATGGTGAATTCCTGGTGAAAGAATAAATTTGTAGGGTACATTAAGCAAGCCTGGAAGAGACTARAGTGACCTGCACTGCCTGATCACACTGATCAAGTGTCTCTGTGCCAGTGTTGGGTGTAGCCAGAGAACTGGTGTGGTGGTCATGTCCCAGGACCATTCTGCCTTGTTATTGATAAACTAGATCAAGCAAAAAGATGATCAGTGTTATGATATTCACCTCTTTTAGACACCACCAGTGAGACATTATTCTCCTCCATAACTAAGGAGAGCTAGCAAAGGGTGGACATCATTCTGGGTACTTTGTGCCACTGAGGACCATTTTAGGAAAAGGAGCCACGTGAAACAGTCAAATAACTGAGAAAAGTTTGCTGTTAGATTTGTGTGCAAATACATAATCTTACCTGTGCATGCAAAAGTTAGGTATTTGAAGCTCTGAAAACATCTACAGAATCCTAYCCAGGTCTAAATGTTCAGCCACTGAAAACTGCCAGTGTTATATCAGTTCCATCTTTCCACCAAATTCCAAAAGCATCCAGTTTCACATACTGTCACTGTGCCTGAGGAAAATATTGTGCTCTGGTGTGCTTTTTATGCTTTTTATGTACTACTTGTCCTGCATCCCTGCAAGGATGGAAGCACTTCCATGGGAGAGAGAGCACTGCAGGACAGAGAGTGCCACGTTTTTTACCATCCAGAGCTGGTCTTTTATCTGTAGCTGCATTTTTGGGGTGAACGAGTCCAACAGAAAGGTTGCCAAACAGAATCAGGCAGGTCCAATGAAGGTGAATTTTGTGGCTGGTAAATTAGCTTTCAGGGCATGGCAGGCAGAGCCTGAGTTGATCAGTTGATCTGTGGCAACAGCAGTGAAAAGATTAATCATAGCAATTTTTATGGTTTTATTTTATAAGCTCAAAACTCACTGAGCATTTTTATGTAAGGAGCTGAGACACACACAAGATCAATGCAAACTATAATCAGTGAGGAAAATAAGCAATCTATTGGYTGTTGCATATCTAGTTTATATGCCAGTAATAATCAGTTCATCCTCCCTAACTGAGCATCAACTTTCCCTCTTCCATACATGCTTTCTCATCTTAAGGTGCAAATAATAATCTGTGTTTATATTCTTAAATGTACAATTATCCATTTAGAGTTGATACACCTTTAAGTAGTTCTGCAAAAAGGCTGGTACTGCAGTCAAGTMTGCATAAAATCAGTGACTGAATTACATTTCTCTCCTATCTGAAAGAAAGAAATATGAGCTGCTAATCATGGTATTTTTTCATGTGTTTATTATTATTTTATACATAGAAATTATAGCATCATCTGTCTTTTTCTGCTTGGTTGAACCTGAAGCTGCATAGGGCTGTTGAAAACCTAGCACAAAAGTAATGGGGGAGTGATACAGGGACCTCATATTTGTCATGCCCTGTGAGGCAAGGAATCAAGTGGTAGTCCCTGTCTCTAAGCACTTGCAGCCTGTTCTAAGGGCTGTTCATTTACCTGTTTTCAAGAGAGATTGGAAAGAAGGTGTGAGCTAGAGAGATAGGAGTGAAAAAGAAAAAAAAAATGTATTCCTATTTGTGGCATTTTTTAATTAAGGACAATTTTTCTCCATTGTCTTTTCATGCAGTTCAACTTTTTTTTTGTGCTATTTCATCTTGCAAATGACCAAGTGCCAGTGTTTACCAATGCTGTGGCACAGGATAATTCAGATTTGTGGCAAAGGAGTGGTATCCACTTGTGTGTCTCTCTCCATCAAGGCTTCGGTCTGCCCTCAAGTATAAAGGACTTTTATCAAAACTGGCCCTTATTTTTCACATAAACTTGCCTGCCTTCAGGCCCTATACGGTTTTTTTTGGGCTCCCTTAGCCCAGTTCTTGTTCTTTTGATCAGTCCTTCATGCTTCCCCAAACTCATTTTTCCCTGCCATTTTCCACAGGGTCAGTCCCAGCTCCAGCCCAGTTCATTCCTTGCCAAGAACAGAGGCTCACAGCATTCACAGCAAAGGTTAAGATATATTTGATAAATGTATTACATGTGCAAGACATTGCAACGTGAATTCATGGGCTGAGTTTTTGGTTTCAAAGGACTTGCTGTTTATTTAGAATTCTCTAAATCAGGATGTAAAACCCCAGCAAAAATAAGATCTTTCTATTAAATAGAAACTTGTAAATATTTAGCAAAGTAATTTAAAAAAAAATCTGTGATCCTTTCATGGATGATGGTGCTTAATTTTGGAATTATATACAGTAACTGAGGTGTGAAAAAGAGTATCTTCAAATTTTTAATATAATGCCAGCTCCAAAGTTTTCAGTGACTCCTATGGAATAATTTTACTGTTTTGACTTCACCTTTATTATTCCTCTGTGATTCTGGCTCTTACAAAAAAAAATGAGATTCATTATCTCTTGTTGGAAGACCCACCTATATTTGTCACAATAGTTATTACTTTTTTTTGAGATGCAAGAAATGAGAGGCAGGATTGATGTCAGATTGTTTTTAATATCATTTGCTGTGCTATTCAGCCATCCATCCTATTTTTAATGGCATAGCTCATTCATGTGCATTGATGGTGATTGCTGAAAAATAGAAGGTGTTACATCTTTTAAAATCTTGAGCAAACCTTGTAATTTACTGTCCAGCCCCAGCATGAGCCATCTTTTAGTAAGTATAGCATGTCAATGCAGTGACTAAATGAAACAAGGCTCAAGGAATAACTGGCAATTATTCAGGAGTGTGACTGGAAGATTCCAGTGATTTCCAAGCTCAGACAATGTGGATTTGTGTCAGCATGAAAAACCTGGAAATACAAGGAACAGAAAGAACATTTAGTTTTGCAAGGCTATGAGGCTGATAGACCTGTAGCCAACATTTTGGAATTCATATTTCCCAGGCTATGAGCTTTTGCTGCCTGCATACATCAGTACCAGACTACAAATATTTCTGTATGAGGATTTAATTTAGATCCTCGTGAGGATTTAAATGAGTCAAATGAGTTTAAATCCTCGTACCTAAACATGTGCTAGGACCTRGAGATGCCTAAGGGGAGACACCTCACTGTGCCTTTCAGTTTTGGACTCGTAAGCAAGAGGAGCTCATACTTCAACTCGAGGAGGTTGCCTTAGCAGCTTTCCTCCAGAAACAGGAAGATGAGGAATGCTGGAGCCAACAGTTTGTACTGCAAGTGATCAGAGTGCATCTGCTGTATTTTATATCAGACAATTTTTGCCTGAAAATAAAGATTACAGTCCGAGGAGTGGGCTGTGTAACCTAGGTCCTCCTTCTCGGGATAAGCTCAGAGTTGTTTAGATTCAGAACTGAGTCTTTTTTCTCTTTATTTCTGTGCCTTTGTGTTTTCCTTCAGTTATTTAGACACTCTCCTGAGAAATTGGAGATGTGGGTCTGAATTCCTTCAAGTTGGGAGAGAAGTCAAGCACTCACTTCTCCCACCTTCTATTTGAGTGCTTAGATTATCATGCAAAGCAAAGATTAGGGAAGCTCTTTCTCACAGAGGCAGACGTCTTTAAAAGGGCAAGTCCTGCTAATTAAGAGATCCAAGTCTAAAAATGACAGGGTTCTATGACTCTTAGGACACTTYACCCACCCACCTGATAGATTATTTTCCAGTGCAAGCAACTGTATCTTTCTCTCTTATTTCTCACTGCGTACACTATCGTATTGTCTTTCACATATCACTTTTGACAAGCAAACGTCAAAGACCATGTCCATTCATCTATGTCCTTTGGAAA